CGAAATTTTTTCACATGAAGCAAAATTCTGCCTATCAAGAGGATAGATATCAGGCTTCACTAAGTCGTGTTTGAGCTTACTAGTGTTAGCTATCATTTGTGATAAAATATCGAGTGATATGCCCTGCTTGTCAATCCACATGGTAGCAGTGGATATAGTAAACGGTTTCGCAATTTCGTGTATATATGACTTGGATCTTGAAAGCAAAGTCTCAATTGTCGGTGTCGAAGAAAAGGCCATATCCAATTGACTGGTATAGATACTTCAAAAGCATCAGGTAAATCACTCAGTGCCATGCTAGGGAAAGACGTGAAAAAGCCTAAGATAAGTTTCGTGACTCCTAGATACTTCGAATCAGTCTCCATTGAGAAACCAAGTATCCGAATACCTTTTGCCAGACACTGTTCGAATATCCAAATCCATCGACATATAATGTCGATCGACGCATATTTGCTATTAGTTCCATAAACCAAAAGAAGAAAAGGAGCATAAGATTTTTCAATGCTCATTATAGATTGAACCATATATATATTCAAAAGCGTCGAGTTATCCATACTGGAAAACCAGCCTTGCTATTCAGCAAGAGACTCTGTTTTATAGTAATTAGGAACAAGCAGTTCATTACTAAGAGGCAATGAAAAACCAACAAAGTTGTTTGATGTAGCATGATGTCAGAGCAAAAAGCAATGTTTGTGTCATTCAAACTGAATTTGCATTTCAGTCTATCGAAACAGAATTCACCTTCTATTATCTGGCTTTCCTCCCTATTTAGAGACGACTGAATAGTAGAAGTAGCTGGAATAACACTAGGAATATTCATGCGAAAAAATTCGTATGCATTGCGATCTGCAAGTATATAAAGAGACATAGCAAATCTTTGGACTTGTTCATTATAGCAATATGCATGTTTTGAACGTGCCAAATTTTGTATAATGTTGTCAATCACTGCAGTCAAGAAAGACAGACTACTGTCATTATCATTATTATCTTTTGTTAGATAGAAGTCAATAAGTGTTTTCAGAAGAGGATGTTTAAGAAGAAACTCTTGAGATATTACAAAATTATCAGGTCGACATTAGTTGCAATAGCTTGTCATTCACATTTCGCAAAGCTTGTATAAACGAACCAACGTCCATACGAATACCAGTTCTAATTTGAAATGTGCCATTTTGAAGTCGAAAACCAACTTGTTTTTTAAGTGCAGTTAATTCGGCAAAATAATAATTTATAAAGTCAAATACATCATTGATACGAAATAAAGATTGTACAGATCTTATGTTCTAAAGCTTGAACATTCCTTCGACAACAGTACCACATTTATCCCGCTCGAAAACACAGAAGGCGTCATCATTATGTAACAGAACGTCATCGGATAGCACCATATGTGTCAATATTTGAGTCATAAGACTTGATATTGAGTAGAAAAAATCAACTTGAGAGTAAGTATAGTTATATAAGCAGATAAAGAGAATTTTTATTCGCACTTACTAGAAAAATGAAAATTAATAGATATAAGCTTCAATATATATAAAATGACATATACAAGCTGACTATTCATTCAATCGTTCTGTTCCTTGATACTTTTTCAGCTCTACTCTTGAATAAAAGAATAGATTGAGTAGTTTTCTATTCGCTACAGATAAACCATTGTCAATATGAGTAATTATGCTATCTTCTTTCCACAAAGTATGTTTCGCCTAGGATCATTTTTAGCCGCATCATCTTTATTAGAATATGATCTATAAAATTTTGTTTAACTATGAATAAACTTATAATGTGTAACTACAAAAAAAATCACATATAAAAGACAATAGTTATATATACATAGTTCATAAATGAATAATAACATAAAAATAACAACAAAAGACAATTTAACAAAATATGTTTACATAAATGAATCTGTTATTCAAATTTAATCTAATTTTTTGGTCGTTTTTTTTTGACTGATTGATGTTTGAGAACGATGAAGGCCGCTTGGAACGAGTTGATGTAGTAGAATCAGAAGACAACATTGGAGTATATTCTGTTGTAGCTTGTTGTTGTGAAGATGTCTTTTTATGAATACTAGTGTCGTTGCTTGGATTAACATTAACATTACTTTTTTTGTTGTTTTGTTTTAAGCATTGAATATGTTCTCCCTTTCAGATGACGATAATAATTAGGCAATTGAAAATTTTTTTCCTTGTTTTGGTAGTCGAGCTGAAACACGACAGCCATAACGAATATGAGCCAAATCATCAAAAGGAGAAGATAATGTAAATAGATAATCGGTACTTTCTATAAGTTTTAAATCAGAAATACCTATTTCATCAGCATGTTTTAAGCATCATTCATTCATTGAATGTTGAATAGTAGCATTAGTAGAAGTAATCGTGTGAAGAGAAGAATCAGGAATAGTAATGGTGGTTAAAAAAACATTTGATATACTCCATCATTTGCTATTTGTATTCTTCAGTATTTCATCTTGTTTCTTTTCAAATAAATCACGTAAATATTCAATTGAGGCTTTGATACCTGGTCTGACAATATAGCCATCGTTCTTAAGAATAAAACAAGTTTTTTTGTTTTAATATCATTGATTTCTTCAGAATCGATATTGACAATATCGAAGATATTGGATATACCTAAGAATGTATTAACTGTTCGAATACCTTGAATCTTAAGTAATGCTGTTACCTCATCTGGACCGGCGAGCTGACTTTTAAGATTGTAAAAGTCATCATCATGGTAGGTGAACATGTCAGAAGGCAACACTTTAGCATCCACAATTAATGTTTGAAAAGCCATAAAATTAAAAGTAACATGAAAATAAAATAAAAAAATTATAGATATATAAAACAAGTAACAACGGCTATACATGCATAGAAATTAAAAAGCTGAAACCAATTAGTGCCTAGCATAAACGAGTTATATGTATACAGATCTTTTTTTTCGTCTGTTTTGTATGTATATTCGTCGGAAACGAATGAAAAGAAAACATTTTACACAATACATCATCGAAATTGAATAAAAATTCGTTATTCTTTACTAATATTTCTATACACATAAAACCTAACATACAGTATTTTTCTTGTATTCTCAGCTACCCTCTACTAAGCTGAGTTGAAAGATGTTAATTGATAACTATAAAAATTTTCAAAGTTGACTTCTTTATAGATAAAATTTGATAGTATTTAATATGTATATTCTGCTGTCACTGATTCTCGATGATTTTCGAAATCTGATATAATACATGCGCTTCTTTTGATGATTTTCAGTTAACTCTACAGTTGCTTGAACTTTCATATGATTTTCATGACTTTTATGATTTAGCAGTCACTTAAGACACAAAAGTCAGTCGTTTCCTCCTTGTAAAAATCTCATTGGCTGAGAGACGGATAGCGAGAAGATCTGATAAGCTAAACACTCAGCATGAAAAAACCTGATTGAGAAACAGTTATATGCAAAAAACATCTGATTGGCAGAATTTCCCACCATAAAAGAACCTGCATGCCTTAGAATTGAATAGTCCAAATATGTGATTGGCTAAAGTACCCAATTGAAAAACTTTGATTGTTCGAGAGTTAGACGTTGGAATCATCTCATTAGGTAAAGATCAAGCACAATATAACCAAAACCTCTGATATTTTCCCAAAAGTTTACGAAGAAAATTAACATTTGACTAAACACGTGCATGCAAACATTCGAACATATCAGCACAACAACGTGTTTTATTTTACTTCGTATGACTCACCCTTGTAAAACCGAATCGAGCTAATCAGAAAAGCTGTCGAACAAACAGTACTCATCGTGAGCACAAACAAAACCAAGACAATGGTATTCGGAGATAGAAACATTGGAAACGGGATCCAAATAGCAGAAAAGTCCAGAGAAAATGTTGAGAAGTTTGAATACTTAGGAACTCTACTTACATAGGACAACATCTGCTCAGAAGAAATCAAAAGGAGAATACGTAAAGCGGTAGGTGCAGTGGCTTCCCTGAGACACACATGGAACAGTAAAAAACTGAAAGTGGCAAATAAACTCAAAGCTCTGATACCATGTGTCTTCAGCGTGCTACTATACGCTTCAAAGACATGGACTCTAGAAGAGATTGACACAAAAAAACTACTCACGTTTGAAGTGCAATGCTACCGACGGATACTAATACTTAGTTGGAAAGACATGGTGCAAAATGAAGACATAAGGAAAAAGATACTGAAAGAAGAAACCATAATAGACATCATCAAGAAAAGAAAATTAAAATTGTTCGGTCATATCTGTCGAATTGACGATAACAGGCTGATCAAACATACAGTATTCGTGAACACGAATGAAAAACCACGAAGAGAACGTCCATGCAAAGAATGACTCGACGATATCACGGACAGGTGTGGACTCAGCTGACAAGACCTGTTCTACCTAGCACAAGACCGACGGATATGGAAGAAACTAATTCGTATAGTGGTTAGCCCCAACGGTCGATAAGCCTACAAAACATCATGAATCATGAAATAAATCTAAAGCAAAATTAAAAACAAAAAAACTTAAATAAAAACAATGATATGATAAACGATGAACTAAATCTAAAAAAGTAAATAGATAACAAAGCTAGAGAAGAAAAATTGTTGACATTTAACGAATTGTGAAAAAAACAAAAAATTATGACCGTCCATCCAGTAATCAAACATAATTTTTGAACTAAAAACGCTTTGATTCCGTAGTGCACATTTTCCGTTAAAAGACTCCAGGATGTTTCGTACACCATTTTAGAAGCCAACTAATTTTTGATTCTCGTGCTCTCTATGCATTATTTCTATTATTGGTCCTCTTCAATCTCTCCTCCATATTAAACACTCTTCACTAATGTATGATCATTCAGAACACAAAGATCAGCAAATGCATTCAAAGAGAAACCAGACTGCCCATTTTTTCAGCATCCTAAAAATCCATTCGTTTATTCAATTAATCGTACTTAGGAAAAGAATGCATATTTCATCAAGATCTCATCTAAACAACTCTTATCCATTTGAATTCATATTGAATTTTTGTACTCGATGCTTTCCACAATCGACGACATAGAGATTGCCGTGTCGATCGAATGACAAACCGATGGGCACATTGAGTTGATTCGATTGTCCTCCTTCACCGTTTCCACCAACAATGACACTTCCCTGTGTGGCTCCTTTGGGCCAACGCATGATTCGATCATTCCTTGCTTCAGCCACATAGACAGTGCCCAATTGATCGACAACGACTCCTTGAGGATAATACAATTGTGTAAGACCATTTCCTTGTCCTTGACCACCAGCCACGACAATGCCTTGTTTTGCACCTTCCA